GCCAGAGCGGCTGCAGGAGCGTTGATGACGACACAGCCGTTTCACGATTGGCCAGATTCACCGCTATCACGTGTGTTTCGGGTTTATTCTAAGTGGTCGCTGATTTTCTGTGTCTCAGCTGTGTGTGGATCGCGAGCTGTGTGTGTGTGGATTGGGCAAGGCTAAAAGTGCAGAACGAAAGTCTCAAAATTCAAATGAATCAAATAGAATCGACTCAAAAGAGACGTGAATTAATGCACTGGTGTCGCCTGATCCACAAATTCACATTTTAATCGCTACATGCACAAATTATGATACTTTAATACAAACTATAACATTTGTATTCACAAATATGTCTCTATTTGAACAAAATGCTGCAAATTAATGTAATTCTTTTCTGTAATTCGTTGAAAAGCATTTGTTTCAGTGTAGTGACGCACATTTGCGAATTTTTCAAATCGTGTACACGTTAATGAATTGCACTGGGCCTTGTTCGTTGGTAGTTGTGTGTGTGGGGGACGTGAAATGCTGTAAACTGCGAAAATGAAGTCTCAAAATCCAAATGAACCGAAAAAGATCGACTCGAACTAGACGTCAATTAATGCACACGTGTTACCTGATCCACATATGCAGATTCCTTTTTGCATGAGCAATTTATGATATATTAATCCAGAACAGAACATTTTTATTCACAAACATGTCTGTATTTGTACAAATCGCTGCCCAATCATTTAATCCTGAATTCCACAGACTCAAATTGAAAGGCATTTGTTTGTGGTTAGTAAGATACATTTATAAAATGTATGCAGTGCATGGATAATTGTGCGTGCGTCTATTAATCATTTTGAGTCTAATATCATCCCATAATATGGATTCATAATATGCAGCGTCTTCGTCTTCACACACAGACGAAACTTACTAGAGTGTGTCCCTGAGCAGGGGAGATCCGTTGAAGTTTACTTCACTTCGGAACATTCATTCACATATTTGCGCTACGCCACCACCTGCAGCGTCTTCTCACACAGACGAAACTTACTAGAGTGTGACATAAATGCATCTGTAAATAAATACAATTTAAATTCACATCTTGTACACTTTAATGACATTTAAATGAAACATATACGCTCGCTTCGAGCTGGAATCATGGCAGAATATCCTGTGATGTCCACTTCGCAGGGCACTTGCGTTCAAATAGAAGAAACGTCTGAAGACATTGACTTCGAGTTTATACTGGGTTACAGTGTGCATACATGTGAAGTAAGTAATCGCTGTATATATTTTTTCTGTTGTGGTTGAGTGATCAGCTGTTATTCCGATTAAGGAGTAGCCAATTAGCATAGCACTGCCTGTATTACCTGTTCGATTCAGTGCATTTGCGAGCATTTCTGTGATATTCCTTGTTGTGAGCTGTTTATATGTATATGCTGTACATTCTGTTATTATTGAATATTAACCTTATTATTGTGTGTGCGCGTTATGCAATGGTTCTTGTTTGCATGTAGCGATCATCCACTTAGTACATGTCCAGGCATGTTACCCTGCCCTCGTGAGAAGGGTGTTCCTGCACAACCGGAGGCTGCACTTTCAGGACAGCAGTTCTAGGACCGCACCCTATTCTTTTGTAACAGCGCCACCTACTGAGTTGGATAATATAGCGGAGGCTGCAGTTTCAGGACCGCATTTCTGCCAAAAGGACAGGCTAATAACACATATTGTGGTGCAACCAAGCAATGAGCCCAGTTTAATTATGAAAGATGATTTATACTTTATGCTAAAACAATGAGTATCAAACAAGTTTTCACACTAATACAGTAAGCTACAGGTAAATCTGACACATCTCACATCAACATGCTTTTATCATCTTTTTAAGTTTAATTAATGTGCTGGCTAGATTTACTTATTGTAGTCATTATGTCAACAAGGTTTATATTTCAGACTGATATGTCTAAGTAAAAGGGGCATTTTATTAATCACATTACTAAAATTAATACAGACACATGACATAAAATAATACATAAAAGTGCTGTATTAGATTGTTGTTTTCGTTTCTCGTTGCCTTTGCTCCAGACAGCTGCTTTCCCTGCTGAGTTCTGTTATGAACAAGATTTTCTGTAAATCACATGACTTCATGAGCTCATGACCATGCTGTTTTTGCCAAGATTTCATTTCAAAGCCCAATTTTGTGAAGGTGGGTATAGCCCTTGTATTCTGAGTTAATAGGTTAGCTGTCCTAATGGAATAAACACATACGAACAAGTATAACAGCAAGATGATCTGTCCTGTTTTTTGTGGTTTTTGTTTTTCTTACAGTGGATGCACAGAGACCCACGTAAGTACTAGAATTATTGACTACATTTGACCTATTTTATTTTATTTTTTTGTTTGCTCATAACCCACATCTTGCATCTTGTTCTATCCAATCAGTGTTTATGCAGTTATGCATGTGTATGCATTTATACCTTAGATGCCTAATTGTTGCTCCAAATATAATTCACGTGGGAGTGGAAGAGACTGTGAGTGTGCAGCTTCATGGAGCAACTAAAGGAACCAGTATGCAGCTATACTTTCAAGACCAGATCTCTCGAAATATTGTGTCCGAAAAGAAATCTATAATCCTTAATAAGGACAATAACTACCAGGCTGTGATAAAACTTAAGGTATGTCTGTACAATTCATATTTTTAAAAGTTTTAAAGTGTGTTTCTCAACTTCCAGTGTCTTTTCTTACTCATGTACCATAGGTTGATCGCAGCTTGTATGGAAGTACAAAAGTGCAAGAGTATGTTCAGCTTGCAGCCACAAGCAATGATGTCTTTGGGGACAAAGACGGAAATGCAAAAAAAGCCAGCATTCTTTTGTCAACAAAAAGAGGGTACATTTTCATCCAAACAGACAAGCCAATTTATAATCCAGGAGAAACTGGTATGATAATTAATTTTCTTATTTCTTATTAATATTATTTTTTCTTTTACTTTTGATAAATCTGTATTACTTGCTTACTAGTGTAACCCCCTTAATCCCAGGGTTTACGTCAGGGATTTGTGATCTAATTTAAAATAGCAATTGTCTAAATTCGTTCAAGGAGCTTTGGGGTATTTTTCCTTTCAAACCAAATTCTCAAAATGTAAATGAACAACTGAAATATCATGAAAAAGTAAAATAAAATAATGCCACACACAAGAATTTAAGTTAGCCAGAAATGTATTTTGTGAGTCCATCAATTTAAATGCTCTTTGTTCTGGCACTTTAAAACCAAAGTGATGAACATTGAATGACACTCAATCTCCAGCAATTAATTGAGCTTGATAACAGATAACAACAATGCAATTGTAACCCAAGGAAATTGATTTTAAAAATCCAAGTTTGGAAAGAAAATGTCTCAGTCCCATGTAGTGTGTGTAAAAAAATATCTCAGTCCCGTGTAATGTGTGGGAAAAAATAAATAAAAAAAATATCTCAGTCCTACCACTTCACCAGGAAATACCATTCAGTTACTCAAGTATTATTATTATTTTATTTAAATTTAACTAAAATTAAAATAAATTACAAATACAAATAATATAAATCAAATGACAGTAGTTTATCAGTAATCCTAAAAAATAACACTGCCAAACTTACATGCTAAAAAACAACAACTGACTTACACATAGTAAGAAATGGTTGTAAAAACTGAAACAGAAGCGAAACAAGTAGTAGGAAAGAAGAGAAATAAAAAGCAATACTTATCCAAACATTAATGCCTTGAATTTAATGCGAGCAGCTACTGGTAGCCAGTGCAAATTGATGAACAGAGGTGTGACACTTACAATAAATAAGTAAATAAATACACTTACAAGCTGCTTTTAACTTCTGCTGATTGACTGCTTCTTACAGAGTATTTTTTACACTGTTTTGTTGGCGCTTGAACACACTTTCCTGTTTATCACAACAAATTTTTTTTTAGATATTTACCTATTTAGATACTTCTTATTTAGATTTATGGCTTTGATTTTCTCAGTTTTGTTTGTGCATGTATCTAGCCAAAAAACAGGAAAAACCAGATGAATACAATAAAAATGGCACCACCTCCCTGAAGAAAGAAAGGAACAATTAAGATGACAACCAGCAAAAAGGTAATACACAACCACAGGATTCCACAATAGTTTTAACAAGCTGTGCTGAGCTAGACTGGTCACAGACAGGTTTCTCAACTTCTGAGAGTTTCTCATCTGTTTTATGCTGCCTCACTCCTGAGTTACTCTTTTTGTGAAGGAATATATCAAGTGAGTTATCATCCCCTCAAGAAATATAAATTCAATCAAGTGAATTTGTGTCCAAATTTGTTGACTGTGTTTGGATGGTACACAAATTGTTTGGCATTGGGTTCACTTCTGCCTCATGATTAGGTGTATTCATAAAAATGCTAAATTTTGAATGTTTGTCCTCTTGACTTACAATCATTGAACCTCAGGAAAGGAGCAGACCCCTCAAGAAATATAAATTCAATCAAGTGAATTTGTGTCCAAATTTGTTGACTGTGTTTGGATGGTACACAAATTGTTTGGCATTGGGTTCACTTCTGCCTCATGATTAGGTGTATTCATAAAAATGCTAAATTTTGAATGTTTGTCCTCTTGACTTACAATCATTGAACCTCAGGAAAAGAGCAGAGCGAATTGTGTAAATTATTTGTAAAGCTATTCCTATGTAAATTGTCATTTCAGTGCAGCGATTTACATAGGACTGGTTTTACAAACAATTTACACACATTTGTTTTGTGAATAAAGTTGCTTGATTCTATAGAGTGGTGCAGTGACGTCAGAACCCGGAAAACCATTATGAAGGGTTATAAAATGGTTAAAATTAAACTCAGATTCATAAATCTCATAGATTATGTGCATAGCTATAATTCTGTGTAAAAGAAAAAAAGGCATGAACATGAGAATGCATGTCGGGTTGGAAGTTGATATTAATGTCAACATGTGACAGCTGGACAAGTTTCACAGACATTTGACAAACAGAAATGGAACAGCTGTTGCCGTATGAACTAATTAAACAATTACAACCAGCTTTACCAGTTTTCTGTGTGCTTATACTGTATGTGCAGGAATGTGACTGCTGTAAGAAAACGCTTGTGTCTCAATGAATCAAAAGTTAAGATGTTAAATTATTTGTTAACAGTACTTTCAAGGCTGCTACACATATTAAGGTTACAAAATAGGTGTATGAAGTAGTTACAATTTGGGATGCATGTGCTGTAAATGTGGAATATTACTTGATAAATAATGAAAGGGAGAACTGAATCATTATATATTCTTTCGTAATTGTACAATAACATTGTATTTTGTACATGTGACTTGGATAGGTTTATTGCAAATGAAACATTTATAATTTCATTCATTTAAACAAATTTACTCTAAATCGGTTTCTATAACCGCCCATAGAGTGGTACACACGGGCACTGCATGGCAGGGATTTGGGTCTCTGGCAGCGCCATATTTCTTCGGTACGGGGATCTTTGTATTCACAGCAACAGTCTCCAGTTCCCATATGCTCTAGTCCATTCTTGTCCCACTTAACATTACACATCACTGCTTCACTCAGCCTGGTCTTATTTGGTCCTGGTCCCTCGTAAAATCCATAAAAGTACACCCTGTCAGAGTCAGTATCTCTGTGATGCTTCAGGACCTGCACAGCTTCACTGGAGTGAATTAGACGCACAGCCACCTGGGCCTCGCCGACCCACGGCAGGAGGAAACGCACAGAGTAGGAGCCATTGAGCAGGTCCACCACCTCCCCAAACACACTGGCCTGTGACAGAGGAACATTCTCAGTACAACTCTCTCTGTCTGACCCTGGTAAAGTACAACAGCTAATTAGTTCTAGTAAAATTATGTGTTCAATCACTCACCTTAGTTTTAGACCAGAACAGCTTGGCTTGAAAAAAGTCGCCTCCATAACTCTTGGATTTACTGTCAAAGTCCTTTGCGTGCACCGTAACAAAAAGCTCCTCACCAGTTTGGTAGCTCTCTTTCAGGTTCTCAATGTTGAATGTGGTGTGGGCTGGACTAGTACTCGTGGACACATTTGTGATTGATCTGTCAGGCCCATCCCAGTAAACAGCCTGCTGTAACCTGGAGTAGCCATCTAAACTGATTCCAAATTCAGAGTAAAATGACCTTACAACTGACTCTTCTGAACTGAATCCTGAAGAAGTGGAGTTTGGAGAGTTAGAGAGTCCTGGAATGTGCTGAGACAAAAAGCTTGGTGGAGGTTGTTTCTTCCTTTCATTACCAATATAAGTCCATACAACCTACAAATGCATAACAAATGAAAAAGTTCCTTCTTTGTGGGAATCATGCTTGTAGATTATATTACTAAAACTAAACCAAGAAATCATGACAATAATGAGTTCACTTAGGATACTAAATAGCATAATATGCATAATATATTATACCACACTG